CCCTGACCGCAGGCTCAGGGTGTGATGCCACTCTGAGGGCCTCTTCAACATTATACTGGATCCCTGTCAGCTGGAGAAGGCAAGACAAAGAAAGGGCACACAGGTGAGAGAAAAGAAGGACTGGGTGTGGCGGTGGTCGCCTGTGATCCCAGCCCTGGGGAGGCAGAGGCAAGAAGATCACAGCAAGTTCAAGGCCAGCCTGGGCTAATCATGAGTTCAGAACAGAACAGAAAAGAGCAGAACAAAAAGGAAGAGACAAATCTGTTGGAAGTGGTGGTACATTCCTGTAAGCCCAGCATGTGGAAGGCTGAATCAGAGCATTATTGTGAGTTTGAGGCCAACTCGGGCCACATACTAAATTGAAGGTCGGTGTGGACTATATAGGAAGACCTTGTCTCAAAAGACTAAATAATTTAAAAATTTTTACAAACCACCCTGAACTTCATATGACACTGTCTCTAAAAAGGAACAATCAAAAACCCTTCCCAAATGACAAAGTTGATTACAGATAAGGTGTCATCAAATTATATGTCAATGATTAAAATTTTAAAAATGTATTCTTGGATGGGCCAGGGATTTAGCTCAGTGGTTCCGTTGTCTGCCTCACAAGAGCAACGTCCCAAGTTCTATCCCTGGTACCAAAAACAAAAACAAAAACACACTCTCCCCCAGATTGTTCCCTCTTGCTTCCAACACATTTACCCCAGCATTCTGGCCACTTTCTGAAGTTATTCTGGAAGTCCTCTTTCCTGCCTTCATAGTGTGATCAAAAATATAGCGACCGCCACTCCAGATGCCTTCCAATGGGAAGGTAGGCTTGTGTAGACATTACCCTTTGTCCTCATCCACTGCATTCACTGGAACAGGCACCATGCAACTTCTGGCTCTTCCGCAAAGTCAAAATGACCATGAGAAGTCAAACTTTTTAATTGATTTAGGACACAGAGGGAGCCACAATATCACATCTAAAGACACGCACAAAAAGAGACTTCCAGGAAGCTCCTGAATGATGGAATCAGTCTTCTTTTCCTGACTTTCTCCTCCATCCTGACCACCACCTGACATACCATGTACTTTATCTTGCTTACACCCATCTCCCCTGGCTACAAGATAAAGTTCCATGAGGGCAGGACTTTGATTTTTTTCTTTTCTTTTTTGTATTGAGAATCAAACTCAGGAGCTTCCACTTGGCAGGCAAGTGCAGTGCCACTGAGGAACATCCCTGGCCCTGATTTTTTTTTTTAGAAAAATGTTTATTGGTATATTTTAGATATACATAATGATAACATTCATCGTAGGGAATATGTACCAGTACATGATGTATCCTGCCTCTTCTTTTCTTTCCCATTCCCCCCTTATGTACAATAGTTTTGTGCCCATTTTGTCAAGGTTCTGTCTTTTCTTGTCCCTCTTTCCTTTCCCCCTACCTCCTCCCTTGTTCTCCCTCTCATTTAAACATTTTCTTCCCGTTTTCCAATGTCTATTGTAGATTTTAGGACTTTGATTTTTAAAAAATCTGTTTTGTTCACCGTTACATCCCCAGTACCAAGAAGATGCCTGACACAGAGTAGGTGGTCAATAAATAGGTTTGTTTGTTGGTTGGTTTGGTGCTGGGGATAAGACTCAGGACCTTGTGCTTGCTGAGCAGGCAGGGTGCCACTGAGCTAAATCCCTGGCTCCAAAAATAGCTGTTTTGGTTGTCGTTGTTTTTGTACCAGGGATTGAACTCGGTTCCTTGCACTTGTGCAGCAGGCAGCAAAACCACTGAGCTAAATCTCTGGCCCAAAACATAGGTTTTGAAAGAATGAATCCAGGTGACAATGAGAGGGATGACAGGGTGGGGAAGGGGCAGCTGGTGACAGGCAAATCCACACGGAGCCCCTCACCCACTCACCTCGTGCGCGTAGGCCTTGCCAATGCCGCTGGTGGCTCCTGTCACCACTAGGAGAGAGAAGGAAGAGGGCAGGTGGGCGGCTTCCTCCCCGAGGTCCCTGCCTGGGTTCCCTGTCCCAACCCCAGTCCATCCGGGTCCCCCAGGCTCAGGTACCTCCCACCCGGAGGAGCCCCCTGTGCTAGGGCTCGTTACTCTCGCTGTCCCCTCGCATCTGCACACAGCCCCAACCACTGTTTCTG